TGTGAACAAACCTAATTTTTCAACATTAGATGTTTAGTTTAAAAATATTGTCAAAATGCACTTTTTTAAAGGGACCATTTATTAAACTACAAATCAGATCTATTTATACAAAAATGAAAACAAAATAAAATTGAGCGCCAATATTTAGCGATCAGAGGCCCTTCGTGGCTACAAGATATCATCGCTTGAGAAGCTACATGATCACATCTTATGCTCTTTATTGTTAGAGTAGTGATGTGCTAGTACTCTGTTTTGGAATTAATATTTCTGCATCTGTTGTATTGATTTCTCCTACACTTTATAAAATAAAGTATCCTTAGACGTTAAAAAAAGAAAGAACCATTTTCATAAGCTAGTTTGGTTGCAGTCTCCTTCCCACTTCAACTTCGCCACCATTTCTTCATATCGATCATTTGTCTTTGAAATCCAATTGCTGATCTCAAATTCCGGTGTTGCTCTGATAGCACAAGAGATTATAGGATCTCAAGGTGATGTTTAGTTAAAACAAAATTGTCTAGTTCACAGTTTAATTTGAAATTTAAGTAATCACAAAGATTATCTTGAATTCTTATAAACTGGCTTGGATCCAGCTTGTAGTGGCTTGCCAATGCAAAAATCCATCTAGAGATAGACCTGTATTTACTGATCTAGAAATATCTCAAACCACCCCATTTTGGTGTAATATGAGTTGAAGAACAGAATATCGAGATAACGATCTTCACATTTGTACTAAAATAACACAAAACAAGATACTTGTTATCTCGATATTCTGAAGGTTCTCAGATTCGAGAGATTGCAGATAAATAGAATTTTTTATACTATCATTAAACTAGTTTCCTAAGAGATGTTTTTCGCACCACTACTGAAAACTTTTACTAACTAACAAGTTTTATGAAGTTTTCAAAACCAGGCTACAAAAAGAAGAAGATATGTGAGTAAATGATCAAAACTTAGGTTAAAATGCACAATGAGATGTTTAGTTTTGTATCTATGTTGGATATGTACATAATAGAGGAAAATTTGCATTAAAAAGAAAAAAAGGAAAACTAAACGCCACATGTTTTGGCTGTTAACTATTAAGAGATATATAATGCAATATCTAAACACTACCATTTTCTACCAAGCATAACTTTTGGTTTTAATGAATAAGAAAAGTTGTTCAATTCATTAAATTAGATCAGATTTACTGACCCAAAATTATTAGAATCTACCCACATTAGTTATAGTAATAATTATTGTATACCACCTGTCACTAATTAGCTTAACGTACACAGAGAAAACTAATTTAAATAGAGAATAAAAGACTTCATAGCAAAACTTACGAAACCGAGTCTAAAAAGTCATTTCTAGAAATCACATTCTTTTTTTCTGCTAACAAACATAATGCGGATTTGAATCTAGGTGTTGACACATCAACGACACTAGCACAAACCATTGAGCTAGATGTTTTGAATCTAGGTGTTGACGCATCAACGACACTAGCACAAACCATTGAGCTACATGTTTTGGTCAAATCGCATTATATGTATCCCATAAAGACTTCAATTTCTTCTTCATATTCCTCATAAAACTCACAAAATTATTTTTGATTATTTTTACAGATAAAACCCATAATTAAAAAATCCATCAATAGCCCTTTTGATAATCTCTCTGTTTTTCCAATAAATACAAAGAACGAAGAGGAAAGTATAAAAAATGGAGGAGAAAGCAAAGAGAAATCAGAAAGTAGCGTTTTACAAGCTTTTCACGTTTGCAGATCGATACGACATCGTTTTGATGGTGGTCGGGACGATCGCCGCCATGGCCAACGGCCTAACTGTGCCGATTATGACAGTACTCATAGGCCAGATCATTAACGTCTTTGGATTCTCTGATCATGATCACGTGGTTAAAGAAGTCTCTAAGGTTAGGATTTCAAACGATTTGTGAAATTTTACATGCAGTTCTTGTTAGTGATATCAGTTTAAGAGTTTTAAGAGTCAATTCTTTTATTTGATCCTTTAAAACACCCAAGAGGAAAGGGGAATAACAAAGAACTTAAAAGGGTTTAATGCATGGCTTCACCTAAAAATATTAAAAAATCTTAATTTTTGTTTTTTTATCATGATTTTATATTATGGTGATAGTCTATATTTGGTTGTGTACATGTACAAATTATAAGGTATGTGTAGTCTCAAAGGGAAATCAAAAATGAATGTATATGTTATAGTTTATCACATCATTAGACTGACCAATG